TCAAAATGGGATCTACTCAGTTATGCTGACCACTGAATGCACGTATGAAAGAGGCTATCCTGTTTAGACCCATAAAAGTGAAAAGATGATACTAAACGAACAATCCTTTGACAAATCCTTTATGACTGTAGGAATCCCTATCAGGTCTAGAACAATAATATTAATCTCCATATGCGCGCTTCAACAGCTCAAAATAAACTGTTTTTATCCCTCAACCCAAGACAGCGAGGCTCCAGTCACGCGTAACCGCTTCTGGCCAATCAGCAGCCCTCGCGCTCCGCTAACCGTCTTTACAATCGTAGCCCCGCCCACAGCAGCGCTCACGTGAGACCTTTTGCACAAATGTACAGTATCAGAAAAAAAACAAAGCGCACGCGTGCATGTAAACAACTGTGGCGATCTATTACATTTACCTCATCATTTCCTTGCACAGACTTTGACTCTATCACTAGCGAAACAACACCGGAAGCCGCGGTTAAAGTGCTGAGAGGAAGAGAGAGCGATTCGGTTCGTTCGAACAGCTCCTTTAAAGCACAGTGATTCTTTACGTCATGACGTAATTGTAGCATCACGTAGCCTTTTCCTAGTGCCTCCAGTAGTCATATGAAGATACTGTTTGCTTCAGTTGAGGTTTAATGGTAAGAGGGTGAAGTGCAATTGGATGGGTTTCAGTTCAGTCTGATGGAGGCATAATTTAGCTCAAAAACAAGAACCTAGATGCACCCTTTGTATTGTTTATATATATTAATAGCCAGCCTGGTGTAAGGGGTGGACATTTTTGCAGTTATTCGCCTAATTTTCTATGTATTTATGAGATTTAAATACTGAATTTAGTTGAAATTTTAATCACTTTTTAGCTGGATTCCCTGCAGACACAGGACATCAACATTTATTTATTTATTTATTTATTTATTTATTTATTTATTTATTTATTTATTTATTTATTTATTTATTTATTTATTTATTTATTTATTTATTTATTTATTTATTCTATTATTAAGCCCATAAACAGTGTACACAATTTATATATAAATCACCACATAGGCAGAACAATCATCTTTAACAATGAAGAAAAAACTGTAAAAAATAAAAAAAAAATTAAAAAGAAAGGAAAAAACTGCTAAACACAGAGGGGTATTAAAAAGAACCGCAGACAGTTGAGGTTTTTAGAGCCTTTTTGTTATGAGTCAATTGAATCAGTGAAAGGTATTGTTTAAATTCATTCAGAAAAAGCACAAAGATAGGTCTGGAGTTAAAGAATTTTGACTTATGAATGTGAAATTTAGCAAGCAGCAAAATTAAGTTCACCACATACAACTGTTTACTTTTAAGTTGTTCATACTCAGTAAAGCTCAACACTACATTTTTCAACACAAAGTACATTTATTATAAATTTTACTTCGAATAAAATTCAAGACATTTTTCCAAAATACTTTGGTAATTTGACAGTGCAAAAAAAGATGAACAACAGTTTCAAAACAATCATCACAAAAAGAACAGCTGGAGGAGAAATCACTTTTATATTTTTTCATATAATGACGTGTCGGATAGAATTTACAAATTATTTTATAAGAAATCTCTTTTACTTATTTTTTAGAAAATAACTGAGGAAGCATCCATACCTTTTTCCAACTTTTTTTTATCCACTGCATTATTCCACAGGACGCCAACATGGCGTCATATTGACGTTGTACCCCAACGTCATGAGGACGTTGGATTTTGTTTGGAAATAAAAATCGTGTTGACGTCAGAACCCAACGTCAGGCTGACGTCATTGTCCAACGTCCAACCTAAAATCAACATCTAATCATGTTACAACTTGACGTTGTGTGTACATTACCACTATGACATCTATCAGACGTTAGATTTTGGTGACTTTCCACAACATAAAATCAAACAAATATCAAAGTAATTTGTCGTCGTTATTGAATGTCAAAATAACGTTGTCCTAAGACGCTGGCTAGACATTGAATTTTGGTCACTTGACGTCACGGCAAAAAACTAACCTTATATTAGCTTATGATGTTGTGTGCCTGCTGGGTTAGCTTGTCAGGTGGTCATAGTAACCACACTTTTTGATGTCCCAAAAATATTTCCTAAATGTTTAGAATAAAGAAATATGACAAATATTTATTTTTATAATACAAATTTATTATATCACAACATCAATAGAAAAAAAAGTTTTACAATCAAAACTGTTGCTGATTGTAATTTATTATGCAAATGTAACAGGATTATTTCAGGCATATTGATTTCACTATATTTTTCTCCTGTTTACTTACTTTTCATATAAAATTGTTTTGTGTTCACAATATTAATGTAAAAACAGTCTGTAAAGTGAGAGTGGTTTCACCTCTTCTCTCCCCTTGGGTTAACGTCAAGGTGGTATAGTCCAAGCAGCCATACCTGTTGCACGATCGTTTGAGCGTTTTTTTTCCACCTTTACCTTGAACTAAGGAGGTATGCTCTACCTGTTCCATATTGAACTTAGCTCTGGTCATAATTAACACACACACACAAATATATATTTAAGTTTAATTTTAATCATTTGTTATGTTTACTAATGTAAAAACAGTTTGTTATATTGTAGAATGTTATTTTTGTTGACAGTGTACATTGAATGTAATGAGCTGAAGCTGCCGGTCGATCATAATAACATTCTCTGAGCAGACTCAAAATGGTGTCCTCTCGTCCTTAACTGCACAACGCAGAGCAAAAGAGAGTACGGTCACACAAATAACAAACTGGCCAGCACATTCAATTTTCTTCAGTCAGAATTTGGCCATTTGAACACTAATACTACTACTAATAATAATAATTTAGAGCACAGTTGTCAAATCCCGTCCTGAATGGCAGCAGCTCTGCACAGTTTAATTCCAACCCTGCTTCGACACACTTAAGCTGTGGTCACACTGGACTTTTCTCTCCATAGACTTCTATTCATACGCATGTGAATGCGTCAGACCGGAAACGCAAGCTTGTGCGTCAAGTTTCGCAGTTCACTGTTTTAAAGTTCAAGCTTGGTGAACGCTGACCTGCGAAATCACATCACGTAACTGTATGAGATGAACCGAAGATCAAAACATGACCTCTCGGTACAGAAGTGTAAAATATGGACCAATCACTCGCTTTTTTAAATGCCTGATCATCTTGTTTAATACCGCCCCTTTTGGCAACACTGTACGACAGAATTTCACATGCTCAAACTCTAGTGTGACCACAGCTTTACCTGTAGGTTTCAAACGACACTGAAGGACTTAATTAGTTTGATTAGGTGTGTTTAATTACTGTTGAAACTAAACTGTGCAAAGCTTTAGCCCTTCAGGTACTGGATTTGACACCTGTGATTCAGAGCTTCACAATTTTTCTAGCCTCTCTTCATAAATATCAACATAGTCAAAATAGTATTCAAATTTATTTTAATATGGGAAAATTAATATTTAATAAGCTTTTGACACTTTATTAGTCTTGTTTTCTTTCAAGAATAGGGTCCAAGATTTACAATTAAAGTTACTTGACAAATGTTTTCTCTGTTTAAAAGCAATACATTACCAAAAGAAGACTGCTGGACTCTTGAAAAATACTTGTTTGCATTGACCATTAAGTCACACCAGGATTCCACTTGGTCTTAACGCTTTTTACGATGGGTTATTTTGACAGTTAATGATAGTGTTGCAATCAAAATAGGACAAATGAGCTCATGAACGGGAAACATTCTGGACCTTTCTCAGTGAGGCTACACTGGCCACATCCCCCCTGGACTGAAATAAATGTTGTCTGCAAAATTGCTGCTAACAATTTATTTGTGTTGAATTTAAACAAACACATCAAATTTAGTAATGTTCAACTTAATTTGTTAGTTTAAATTCAGCCAAAATATATTGTCTACAACCAATAACCTTAAATAAATTTAAGTAAATCCAAGGAATAATCTTTGAGTTATTTTTTCAGTGTGTGGAAATGTATTAAAAAGTAATATACCCTTACATTTTTATAAATAATAATAATTTATTATTATAACCTATATTATTGTAAGTCAACAGCTCTTGGAGATTCATTACAATACCAATAAAAAGGAAACCACATATATATAGGCTAAATATCTGTTGCTACTGACATAATATATATATATATATTTTTCAATATATTTTATATATATATTGAAGAAAGCCTAAAATTTTCAGGCTAACCACTGACTTGCATTCATTTTCTTTTTTGGCTTAGACCCTTAATAATCTGGGATTGCCACAGCAGAATGAACCGCCAACTTATCCAGCATATGTTTTACGTAGCAGATGCCCTTTCAGCTGCAACCCATCTCTGGGAAACATCCATTCACACACACTACGAACAATCTAGCTTACTCAATTCACCTACTGTATGCCACATGTCTTTGGACTTGTGGGGGAAACCGGAACACCTGGAGGAAACCCACACGAACATGGGCAGAACATGCAAACTTTCACACAGATATGCCAACTGACCCAGCTGAGGCTTGAATCAGTAACCTTGCTGTGAGGCAGTCGTGCTACCCACTGAGCCACCGTGACACTCCACCACTGACTTGCATAGTAAGAGAAAGTGACATTTTTCAAAATATCATCTTTTCATGTTTAACCGAAGAGACTAATGAAGGTTTGAAACGTAAAATGGTGAGTAAATAGTGACAGAAATGTCATTTTTCTGGTGGACTATGTCTTTAATGTTTTAATAAAGTCATATCTTTGTGACTTATTATTAATCATATTTTTGGGTGAGCTATCCCTTTAAGTGATGTGCGGGACCCGCTCGAACCCGTTCTCAAAAGAATCACTAGTAGCAAATATGGTTCAGGGTTCAACTGACTCTTTATTGTGACTCGACTCAAGTGAACGATTCATACGAGTCGGACACCAGCAAGAACGAGCAAGCGAAAGCGAGAGAGAGAGAGAGAGAGAGGGAGAGAGGAGGGGTAGAAGCACATGAAAAACTGCGTAACCCACTGCTGGTAGATAGACGGGGCAAAAAGGTTGCCTTTCTGGGTCGTACACGCTATCTGGAGCTTTGCTGCACTTTTATGCGAAACGACAGCGGATTCAGAAGACCTGCCGAGGTAGGTTTAACGCGCCTGTGCGCTTTCTACATGTTGTAAATGTTGTTTGTCGATGTCAACTGTTGTTGTTTTAACGGCACAGTTTATAAACAAACGCCGAGGCTTCGCTGAGCAGACTTTCTGCACTGAATTGAAGCTGTTTACGTTGCCGTAGTTGATTCCAGAACACATGACATGCCTGACAGGATCTTATTGGAAATGTTGCTGCTCAGTTTAGACTGTGCGCGTTTGGCACCGGTGTTTCGCAAGCGTCAAGCTCTTGCACACTGTGTGTTTTATTATTATGTTTTTATATATCGGATCAACAGGCAGAGAGTCCGGCCCCCCTCCAGCACGCCTGTCAAGTCTCACGGACAGTCCAGCTCACATTTCCAGCTCCATATGCAGCTCCATAATTCTGCGCGCCTGACCAGTTCAGCTCTGCTCAGTCAATCTGACATGCTACAATAATTGCGCGCGCGCAAAGTTTTTATCAAGCTTATTTTTCCTTAAAATCTACTTTTATTGAGAAGGAGAAGTGCTTCTTTTGGGCTCATGGCTGAAGTGTTTGTTAGTGGGTGAAAGTTTATTATGTTCGGAAGAGTTAATGATTGAAACTTCCGAGACCGATCAGTCGCCACTGGAGCTTTAAATAAAGCAGGGGTTTATTATTAAAGCCGTTCCTCTTGTCGAATTGTGAACTGTCCTTCCGTTGTGAAGTGTCACATTCATTTGGCCATGTGACAGATACTGTACATGCAAGCAGATCAAGCGTGTGTGCATATGCACTCATAATTTAGGTGAACCGTTATGGGAAGGGCATTGGGTAATTTTATTTAAAGCCTAGTTAGTGTGCTGAACAGTTAATAGCACACGACTCTTGTTGTAGTGAGAAAGTTGAAGGCATGCTCTCTGTTTTCCCCCTTTGATTATTATCTTCCACAGAAGATTCTTTTATCTCCCGTCATGCATTTTGTTTAGTTTCCGCTCAGCAGCGTCAAATGTGTGCGTGCATGCGCTTTTGTGCATTGATACATAGGATTTGTGTGGCACGTGCGCGTTTTTATGCGAATGTTTGGGTTTCGATGTGCTCTCAAAATGTAAAGGACGAACCCGTTTCCGTTAATTATGCTAGTTATAGGCTCAAACTTGTAAATTTGACTTGATTAAAATATAAGTATATATATTTAAAAATATTTAGATATATCTATGTATTAGTCCATTTCAGTCCATTATTAGTCCAGCTTGCATGCAGATAAACGAAAGAGTGTTTTCTCAATGGTGTTATACATAGTTAAAGGGACCCCAAAATGAAAATGTGTGCTCACTATTTACTCTCAATCCTTCCAAACCTGAGTCTTTTTCCCTGTTGAACACGAAAGAAGATATTTTGAAGAAAGTTGTGACCACTAACCTCCATAGTGGAAAAAACAAATACTATGCAAGTCAATGGTTACAGCTTTCCTCAAAATATCTTTTATTTGTGTGAAGTCAGACAGGTTTGGAGCAAGTAAATGTTGAATAAGGATTAAGTTTTGGGTGAACATTCATTCATTCATTTTCTTGTTGGCTTAGTCCCTTTATTAATGCGGGGTCGCCACAGTGGAATGAACCGCCAACTTATCCAGCAAGTTTTTTTTACGCAGCGGATGCCCTTCCAGCCGCAACCCATCTCTGGGAAAGGGGAACTATCCCTTTTAATTATTTTTAAATAAACAATTTATTATTAAAGTAATAATAATAATTAATAATAGTCTGGAAATAAATAAAAGGAAAACAACAGAGACTTTGGACACACATCATGAACTACAGGCAGCATAAAATGTGTGAGAACAGCACAAGATTGTACAATCATACATAAAAAACAAAACAATCACAGTGTTAATGGACAAGGTGCAGTATTTGGGTAGATTGTGTAAGTTCCTGAATGCACAACCTTGCAAGTTTGTGTTCAGTTTATTATTATCATTATTATTGTGAGGTGTATATATATGTGCAGATGTAGCTGTATGGCCAGTTCACATGTTGATGAAGAGTCTATGGGTATATATGAGGGAAGACACTGTCCTGCAGTCTGAGGACCCGAATGCTTCTGTACCTTCTGCTGGTTTGGCTAGTTTAAGGTTATTTACAATCCTTGTGGCCCTCAGAATGCTGGCTGGAAAAAAAAACGATTTCAAGCCAGTGTGGACAGTCTTAGTGGCCTTTTTATATGAGGACTCCTACTCGTGTATAGTGATCAAAACATTGTTGTTGATCATTATCATTATGTCCGTCAAGGACAGTTGTAGAAACTACATGCATTTGCCCGGATCAGAGGTGGGCGCAGTATGAACGAACATTTGTTCTGTTGTTCAGTTGCGAATGGATATTATTTTGATTAAAAAAGTAACAGTTTAATAGTGCTGTGGGGAAAAAAAATCAAGAAATCGATTCAGAGATTTTCAAAATATGTCAATATTCCCTCTTGAATACATCCTGAGCTTACTGTAGTTTTAAACAGCAGATGGCGCTTTAGGCTAATTTTTAACAGCGAATTGTGCTCTTGGCTAGTTAATAACAGCAGATGTTGCTCTAGGTTAGTTTTTAACAGCAGATGGTGCTCTAGGCTACTTTATAACAGCAGATGTTGCTCTATGCTTTTTTATAACAGCATATGGTACTCTAGACTAGTTTATAACAGCAAACGGCGCTCTTGGCTAGTTTTTAGCAGCAGGTGGTGCTGTAGGCTAGTGGTCAACAGCAGATGATGCTCTAGGCTAGTTATTAACAGCAAATAGCGCTCTAGACTAGTTTTTAACAGCATAGGGCGCTCTTGACTAGTTTTTAACAGCAAATGTTGCTCTAGGCTAGTTTTTAACACCAGGCGGCGCTCTAGGCTAGTTTTTAACAGCAGATGTTGCTCTAGGCTAGTATTTAATAACATATGATGCTCTAGGCTATTTAATAACAGCAGATGGCGCTCTAGGATAGTTTTTAGTAGCAGACAACAGTCTAGGCTATTTTTTTTACAGCAGACAGCGCTCTAGGCTAGTTTTTAACACCAGATGGTGCTCTAGGCTAGTTTTTAACAACAGACAGCGCTCTAGGCTAGTTTTTAACAGCAGACAACAGTCTAGGCTAGTTTTTAACAGCAGACAGCGCTCTAGGCAAGTTTTTAACAGCAGATGGTGCTCTAGGCTAGTTTATAACATAATTTTGCACTCTAGGCTAGTTTTTACTAGAAGATTAGGTTCTATGGTAGTTTTTAACAGCAGATGGTGCTCTTGGTTACTTTTATTAGCAGATGGTGCTCTAGGATAGTTTTTAACAGCAGGTGGTGCTCTAGGTTAGGTTTAACAGCAGACAGCGCTCTAGGCTAGTTTTTAGCAGCAGATGGCGCTTTAGGCCGGTTTTTAACAGCAGATGGTGTTCTAGGCTAGTTTATAACATAGTTTTGCACTCTAGGCTAGTTTTTACTTGAAGATTAGGTTCTATGCTAGTTTTTAACAGCAGATGGTGCTGTAGGTTACCTTTATCAGCAGACGGTGCTCTAGGTTACCTTTATCAGCAGACGGTGCTCTAGGATAGTTTTTAACAGCAGGTGGTGCTCTAGGTTAGGTTTTAACAGCAGACAGCTCTCTAGGTTAGATTTTAACAGCAGGTGGTGCTCTACAGTACTTTATAACTGCATATGGTGCTCAAGTCTAGCCTTTATCAGCAGATGGCACTCTAGGCTAGTTTTTAACAACAGAGAATGTTCTAGGCTAGTTTTTAAAAGCAGACTGTGCTCCGGGTTAGTTTTTTGCTTAAACATTTCCTAAATTATTATAGATTTTTTAGGTTTGAGCGCTATTTGTAAGGAAATGGATGCGAGTGGAGTATAACTGTTTGTAAAGCATACAACGCCACCTGCTGGTAAAAACTAAGCTCAGAATCTACTCAACAGAGAGTAGCGATGCATTTTGAAAATCTCAGAATAAATTTTATTAATCGATTATTCAATGTGTTTCACCACAGCTCTCAAGTTTAAAAAAGTAATTTCTCTCATTTAAGGTCACATTTATTGGTCTTTTTGATTGATAACAAAAGTATTGTATATGTGCACATATTTGGATTTTCTCGGATATATTTAGATATTAAATCCTAGCTCTAAACATTTTAACATTGTCTTCATGCAATATAAACAGCGAGCGAGGATGCTGTCAAATGATTTTATGCATCATTAGTAATTAGCAGTGGCATTAACTCGACATATCCATTAGATATGACTCAATAAATCAAGTTTGATGCATGATTTCCCATTCCCTGCGTGTGCATTAATAAATGACAAGAAACAGCTCGTCTTCTTAGTCACAGTTTGTTGCGACGAAGCACTCTCCTCTGCAAATGTATAATACATCAGCGACCATGTTACATTTGGTCAAAATGTTACTAGCATTACAGGCTTTGATGGAAAAGTTTATTATACATTACATTAGTCTGAAGTGTGCCTGGCTTTCACATTGTGTCCCGGGTTTTATACAAGCACAACTGGAGCAGCTTGGTGAAGTTTGTGTTTGTGTTTCAGCCTGGTGAAATAATGTTCTTGATGAGCACTTAAGAGCCGCTTAAGCACAGTGTTTATGCACTCGACCGGTGTCAGTCATTCATTGATCTCACACTGTATAGCGCTGCTTTAAGATGTGTGTTCAGTTGGCAGTAATTTAGGTGATTGCTTAAGACCACACAGGCTTAGAAACAGCTGGCCTGTCAGGACAACAAAGAGTACGCAAACAAATTGGTGGGCAAACATACAAGTTGGTGGGTGTTTGCCAGTAAAAATTTGCATACGGTTTAGACTGACACACTTGCTTTCTTGTCAGGCTATATTATTCATTGACTAAATGTTTAATAAATCATTTAAATGTGTTAACTTGATTCATTCTGATTGCTGTTTGCTATAGATATCTGTAAAGAGTACTACTTGTTACACATAGGGGACTGTCTTCAGGAACATTTTGTTGTTGTGCTGGTTGAAAGTCTCTTCACATTTCAATAGT